CTGATTTGTTAATTTTACAGTAGCTCATTTACAACAGATACAAAAAAAAATAAAACTTCACTTGAGCATCTGATTATCATTTGCTTTAGTAAGCAATTTCGATAAAAGAATTGAAATTAGCCAAGGAATATTCCTTGATTGTTATATGACATGATGATTTTGTCTTTAAAAGAAAAATATAAACGTTCCATAAATTATTTTTTTGTTCTTTTACCAGGAGCCGTATTCATGAAAATGTAATGAACGGTGCTATCTTGAAAGTATGATTTGTTTATTCAGAGTAAACGGTACAACTGTTGCAGTTTTGCTCGTTTCAAATAGACCTGCGACAATAAATATAACACGGGCATACATCTTGAGTGATATTGGTCAAATGTGATCTTTGTCCAAATTTGCCACAAATTGCCCGCAGAGAAATGATTTTAAAATGTCATCCTAGCAAACTTTGTGTTTGTATTTCTGCAACGTAAGGTTGGGGATTCTATTCCCGACCCCTGATTAACCGTTCACAAATACATCCAACCACTGCACATATGCTGCATGTTGAGGACAGACTTCAGCGCGTAGGTGTGGCCAAAATAGGTCTGCGATATTTCATTGGGACACGACCAACTCCCCGCCTCCCCTAAACGATAACACACAATGGCAATGCTAGAGACGCCTGTGACTTCGACCAGTCGTTTTCTCACAAAAGAAGCCCTGTTGTTCGCGCTGCCCTCAGAGAGCATGGTGAAATAAACCAGTAGCGCATTGAAGACCTCGGACGAGATGCCTTCCTTTGGAGTTTGTTTTGTCCATTGCTTCATCACGAAGTACCAATACTGACCAACCCACCCCGACCTTCTGTATGTGTCATAGGAATAGGATATACCGACGTCGAGTCCGGTGGCGCCTTCTAAGAAAACTACAGCCGAGCAAGATCCACCGACTAATTCCTCGCAATGATTCCGTAGATTTTTAGCTCGCTGTGATGTCGAAGCTGTCGACTGAGCTCCCAGCGATAGATCCATTTCAAAGAACGGGTGCTCGGCTGAGAACCCTTTTATTAAAAATGATGATACCTGGTGATAAAATAGATCATTTTACACGTCAGTATGAAGAAGACTGCTCATGTATAATTGATTGTTTGAAGTTTTGCTTACATATAAACAGGTAGAACTGGGTTATCTAGGTGACAATTAGCTCTATCCTTCATATAATATCGTAGTTTTTCTCTTAATAAATAAAATTATACCAGAATCCTTACCAGAACAATGCTTACAATCGGCGTTGGCAGCATTCTTATGTATCAGTTGACAGTGACAACCGAGGTTGACAGCCAAATTGATATCAACTTCATACGGCACTGCTCCAGCTGTTGTTAAATATATCATGAGCAACCCTCATATAGTCCACGACACAGCATAGTTATATTATGGGGTGTCTCTATTTCACTATTTTATTACAGGGAAATGAGAATAAGGAATGAAAGTTGTCATGATAACATTTTTCTGTGAAAGAGAGATTTTTACATTTGGCCTTCGTGGTATTCTAATTTTTGAACAGACCTTATTTCATTGTTAGATATCTTTCCGCAAAGATGTATCGAAATGAGCAGTTAGCAATATGTAATGGTTTCATTCTTCAGAACACTTAAATTACCTACAAAAAGGACAGTCGACAGCAGTTGATTTTCAACGTGTTACGAATGTCGATATTGTACGACGGGTAAAGGCCGATTCGAAACATTTATTTCTGCCACTCTTCCTGACACAGGCGTCCAAATGAACAATCAAGACGGCAGCACGTTAGTTTTAAAAGTAGCAAGGGATTTCTTAAAAAAAGTTACGCATATAAAGGGGCAGATCCAAGAAAATTTGAAATTGGGGGGGGGGGGGGGGGGTCTGCAGATGCTGATCCCTCCCCTGGCTTGGGGTTCGGGACCTAGTGAAGGGAAAAAAGTAGTGTTTTAGAAGGCGAACGGTGCCATTTGGTACGATAAAGAACTGTGATTCAGCTAGTCAAAATTCTTATTTCAAGATGGGACCATTGGTGTAACTTTTTTCAGAAATCGAAGGGGGGGGGGGGTCAGGACCCCTCACCCCCCCCCCCTAAATTCGCCTCTGAATTATGAATTACCAACACCTCTTTAACGATCAGCATTGACCCTACCCCCCTTTATTTTCCTGTGCACGTGAGCACGTGAGCCACGGTCGATCTTGATCGTCAGCAACATCTTAAAACAGGAGATGCGCAGTTGTGGATTTGGCAAAGAGTTTAAGGTCACGGTGATAAAACATGACCCCAGTTATCAATGCAAGGGAACAATCGCCTGTCTGTTGTTCAGTTGCCTCCTAATCAAAAACACACAACTTGCAGTTGGGTTTGCAAGAGGATCGCTTGTTTGCACGCTGTTCAGTTTATCATCAGAATAGTGGCTGAAGAGGAAAAAGTCAGTATGATAAAGAGAAAACGGGCGGTTCATACGGTGGTTGATAATTTGTTTTCCAAACGAGCTGTAAGAGGCATCTGTGAACGAGATGTAAGTAACGAAAAAAGACTCAGAGATACCTCTAGACAAATAACTTTGGAAATGAAACATACAACCGAAGATTTCAACCAAGAAAATGATCGTCTGAGAAGACGAAGTTCTGAACTGAAAGGACTGCAAGGTAAACGCAAGACAGCGTCTATGAAAAGTTCTCATCTTGACGAACTTTTCCAGTTGACAGATGGAAAGACAGGAGAGCCTACTGGCGAGAAAAATGGTAAGATTTCTATCGTTCGTCAGCTTGACACACCAACGATATCTGAGAAAAGCAATGTCGGAGAGGGGTTTGTCGCTTTGCCTGGGACCAGATTCGTACGTTGTCAGTCGGTTCCGAGCACTAAACGGCGTTTAACAGACCAGATTTTAGAAGAGGATTTATGTTTACGGACCTCAGACGACATTTCGGTACCGAGATGGCAGGAAAATAAAAAACACATATATCGCCATTATAACTATACAGTTAAGAATGGGGCTTCAACAAACACGCCAGTGTACCAAACAGAAGAGTTGCTTCAACCGACCAGAATGCGATCGTTATCTCTTAATTCTACGAGTGAAGAAAGGACGGTCACAAGAGCCAGGACGCTGTCAAATTCTAGCGAAACCAGCATCTCATCCCGCGTTAGTCAACCTCATGGTTATGACAAGCAGCATAATGACAATATTAACGTTTTACGAAGCGTCAGTATTTCAACGTCGGAAACTGACGTTAGTATGCTTAATGAAGATGAGAGAAAAATACACGATTTCCTTCAGAAAAACACTCGTGCAGACATCAAAAGATGGGACAAACGCCGGGTAAACAGAATTTATAGGGAAGTTGTTCATCAGACGCCTATAATTCAACAAAAGCAGACATCTAAAAAATCAAGAAAAGCACTTCGTCTGCCACCCATGATTCTACCGCCCATCTATACCGTACCTCCCCTCCCTCTAGTCCCAGCTCATTTTGAAGATGACTCCCACCCTTCCCCGATGGAAGTTGCCTTACAGAATATTACTGACGAGCAGTGGGAAGATCTTAAAGAATGTCGGTATTTGAGACCGAGACCTAAAAAATACCAGGTTGAAATAACAACGAGCACAGACTCGATGTTTTAATTCAGTCTGAGAAGAAAACCGTACACAGCTGTCGCGGTCAGTTTTTTAATTATATAGTTCAGAACTACTAGTGTCGTCCCTTTTTAATATGTTTCACATTACCGAGCATACTTTAATATCACATGGCATAGTTCAAGTATTTTGTTTCCTTTAGCTGCACTTTTAATTCAAACGCACGTTGCCGTTGCACTAAAATTCATTATGTCCAAAAGAGATGGATAAACCCGACTATTCTGAAATGGCATGAACAATACCGGTAACTGTGAAAATAAGGACAAGACTGCGAGACTTAAGACTATGTATTTCATTTTAAAAGTGCAGTCCTCGTCGTATACAACTTGTAAAGCATAATAGGTTTACTATGACGTGTGATTTATAATCTTTCATCCTAATCATGTTTGGTGAGATAAGGAAATTCGGAGTGGGTAGTCAAGTTTTACAGCACTATAATGTGAACGGTATATCATGGAATGTATGCCATCCTCACTCGAGAGTACCTCTGAAAGCCGATTGCATACTGCCATTATAATTATATATTTGTACAGGGACACACGTGGCTTTTATTTTTGTGTATGTCCGTTTTTGATCCATAATATTGTAATTTTTACGGAATTTTCAAAAAAGAAGATAAGACTTTATGAACTTATTGATATCGTTTAAACTCAGAAGTTAACAGGTTCCTGAAAATTTGCCCTTTATGAAAAACAACAATACACAGTAGAAACCTGCGCTAAGATTGAATCTTTTTGCGAGATTTTGTATATTTTAAGTGCACTCAATAAATTACATCATCTTCTAGAATACAATTAACTTATACATTGTCATACATTTACCATATATTTTAACAGCAATATTTTTACAGTACCTTTTGAAATACATTTCAAGAACTAAACATTAGTAATTGTTGGGGAATAGCAGTTATGAGTGGGTCGTTCTCGATGAATGAAAATTCCAGGAACTCTTGTTTTTCACATTATAACGTGCACTACTACCTGATTTAA